CGGGACCGGTGAGGGGAGCGCGGGGCAGGTGAGGGGAGAGCGGGGCAGGTGAGGGGAGAGCGGGGCCGGTGAGGGGAGAGCGGGGCCGGTGAGGGAGCGGGACCGGGACCTGGTTCTGGGGCTGTGGAGCCGGGCTCAGCCAGCGGGGCTGCGCTCCTGCCGCGGGGCCCGGCACTGAGGGCTCTCCCTGGGGCTGCGCCAGCCCTCAGCAGGACAAGGGACAGTGGGCAGGGACTGATGTGCGGGAAGTTCCACTTGAACGTGAGGAAGGACTTCTTTAAACACCTGGAACTGCCCAGAGAGGGTGTGGAGTGGATGATCCAGGGGATGTTCCAGACCCATCCGCACACAATCCTGTGCCCTGTGCTGGCCCTGCTGGAGCACGGAGGGGACACCAGATGAGCTTCCATTGTCCCTTCCAGTCTGACCCAGCCTGGGATGCCGTGCTGTGGGTCAGGGGTGTGAAGTGCCAGCCTCCCAGGCCCTGAGGGCACCGTTCTGGGGGCACCTGTGGGCACAGCCCTCCCTGGCTGTGGTTCCCCATGCCAGCCCTCACCAGAGCCCACGTTTTCAGCCTGTCCCCTCTAACATACGCCGTGCTGGGGCAGTGCAGACACTCGCGGAGGGTCCCACCAGGTTGGTTGCGTGGTTGGGGATTTATTCTTGGAAATGGCAGCGTCACTGAGGATATCTGTAAGTGCTCCCGTGCACTGGGGAGTTGGTTCTGCCTCGGTGCGTTGTTGCCTTGGAGTTTATTTGTTAGCGGTAAGGTACAGCCCCTGTCCCTCCCACAGGCTCCTGGGAAGCTGGGATGAGTCACCCGGGTGAGTGTCCCTGTCCCCTCCGCTGGAGGCTCAGGAGGGACAGCTCTGTCAGCTCGGGCTGGGCACGGTGTGCTGGGACTCTGCCTTGGCTGTGCTGAGCTGGAGGAGAAGTGAAATGTTAAATAACAAACACATCGCTGGCAAAGCACCACAGGGGCTGTTCGCTCTGTTTGGTTTAGAATAGAATCCCCAGAAGGGTTTGGGTTGGAAGGGAACTTAAAGACCATCTTGTTCCACCCCTGCCATGGGCAGGGACACCTTCCACTGTCCCAGGCTGCTCCCAGCTCCATCCAGCCTGGCCTTGGGCACTGTCAGGGATCCAGGGGCAGCCACGGCTTCTCCCTACCCTCACAGGGAAGAATTCCTTCCCAAGATCCCATCTAACCCTGCCCTCTGGCAGTGGGAAGCCATTCCCTGTGTCCTGCCACTCCAGGCCCATGTCCACAGTCTCCATCTTTCCCTTCAGCTCCCTTCAGGTACTGGAAAGCCACAGTTAGGTCACTAACTGGGGTGAGTTTCCAGCTTCAGAAGAAAGAAGTTGTTCTTTCCATCAAAAACTTACATTCCGTGGCAAAGGGCACAACTCCCTGAAGCTCTGGGTCAACTTTACACAATTCCTGCCAAAGCCAGTCCCTACAAAGAAATAATGCATCTCCCGCCCTCTGTGACTCAGCCCTTTGTGCCCTGCAGGGTTTCTGCCTGCCCATGCAGTGATACCCCAGGTTTATTCTCTCATTACCTGACACATTGCACAGCGTGGGAGCCTCAGGGAGGTTGAAGTCTCCTGGCCCGTTCCTGTAACTCTTCCCTCTGCTCCCAGCCCGCAGGTGCGATGGCCACAGCGGCTTTCTGGGACTCAGCACCAGCTCAGCTCCTCTTCCCTCCAGGCACAGCCACTCTGCTGTGCACCATGCACGTCACCAGGCCCAAATCTGCCAAGGGACAGAGGCCAAGCCTGAGCCACCGCCAGGGAATGGAAGCCTGTCCGTGCCGTGTGCCATCTTCCTCACCGGCAGCCTCTCCTCGGGAACTGCTGAACAGCCGGAGAGCACCACTCACAAAACCGGCCTTCCCACCTGTCCAGGTGTCTCCTGAGAAAATCCCAAAGCTCCTGCAGCAAGTGCCTTTGAAGAGCTCCTCGTCCCTGAACAAGTACCGGGTGCTCCCCTCCATCATCCGGAAGGGCGTAGGGAGCGGCGCCGTGGAAGCGTTGGCTGAACGGACCGACCGGCTGGAGGTGACTGAGGGGCAGGGGGATGCTCCAAAAGCCATCAAGACTTTTTCTGGAGAACAGGGAACTGCCAGCACATTGTCAGGAAGTGACATTCCCACTGAAGAGAGCTCCCACGTGCACTGTGCCCCTGAGCAGTGGGGAAGGCGAGCGAGGCAGGAGAGCCCTCGGGTGTTCCCTGGAAGCCTGGAAGAGCCGCACGTGCTGCTCGCTGTCCGATCTCCCTCTGGGCAGAGGTTTGAGCACCACTTCAAGCCCTCTGATAATCTCCAGACGGTTCTTGCCGTGGCAGGACAGAAATTGTTGGCCAACTACCAACAGTGCAGCGTTGAAACCATGGAGGTGCCCCGGAGGAGCTTCTCTGACCTTACAAAGTCCCTTCAGGAGTGCGGGATCCTCCCCAAGTCTGTGCTGTGCATCCGACAGGACGAGCAGGACGATGCAGCAGATCTTTAGGTACACAGAGATGCTGTGGGTCCTTCTTCTTCCAAAAAATTGAGAGTCTGATGCTTCCTGCAACCTACTTCTTTATCTTCCAACTCCCACCAAATACCGGTGAAGCAGTTATGGATATGTAATAGTATTTGAAATAATATTTCAGAAAATAGTATTTCAGGTGCATAAACCTGATGCATACAGAGCAGCTCGTGTCACCTGTGCCATCACAAATTTCTGCCTCAGCACCACCAACCTTCAGCCCTTCTGGTTTGTTGAAGTTGCTGATGTTCTTTGAACACTCAGGTTTCCAAGTCCTCTCCCCTTGTCCTTTTCTGTGTTTTGGGAAGGTATCAGTTCTCTGAATGCAGAAGCACCATTTGGGAAGGTAGAAGCTACAGGAGCACCTTCAGTAGCTTCTGATTATCTTAAACATCCTCTCAAGAGACTGAAAAGGAGATCAAACCCCAAAACCATCTGGAAATAACAATATTAACGCATTAATGAGTTATTGTGAAGTATTAAATTGCAACACTGATCATAAAATACCTGTGAGGGCTCAGGTGTAACCTCAGTCCAGCTCTTAACTTTGACTAAGTCATCTTTTTAAGAACAAATAATTATTATTTTGGTTGTCTTGAGGAGCAGCAGGATTTTCTCTTGAGTTTTCCTCCTCTTATTCAGCTCATGTGATCCACAGGTAAGAAGAGATGGATAGTTAAGAAGAGATGTTAAAGATAATTCCATTTAACCCCTCTACACTACAGGGAGTTAGTCCAAGGAGCAAGTGCTGCTTTGGGAATTTTTGAATAAGGTATTAATGTGATTTGACTGGGAATTGGCTCAAGGACTAAGCCATCTTTTACTAAACCATCATTAAAAGGCTGGTTGGGTGACTAACCAGGTTTAGGCTAACAAAATGTGCTTGTGCTGAAATATGAGAAATATCTTCTAGTTTCTAATGGAATTTCAAAAGCAGTGATTTTTAATCTCCTTTAAAAATGGACCAGTTGCCACACAGATGGACTGACTTTAAATGTTTTGAGACAAACCCAGTTTATTTTGAAGCTCAGTGTAACTGCTAAAACAGCACAGCAGCACAAACACAACAGGAGCAGAAAGCTGATAGCTGGTGCTGGCTGTGAGTGTGGTACCTGATGCTAAATCAAGTGTTCAGCAGCTTTATAAAACCAGTATGTGATGGAGCAGTGCTCCCTCTGCTGCTGTTGGTGATGGGAATCACTCAGCAGTCCCAGATATTGAAATATATATGGACGCCTTCAACAGAACCATGAAGTATTTCACTTGGTTTCAGGAAAAAGGACCATTTTCCATGTTTCCTTCAGTGTTAGGTAGTTAATTCCCTATTTCTGCCTGTTGTGTGTGCTGTTACTCCTTCATTTCAGAATGTTTCCATCCTGTGTTAAATAAAACATTTTAGGCTGAAACTTGAACATGAAATGATTTACATGAGCTGAGGTTTATCCATCACACCTGCTCTTAAGAAACTATTCATTTGATACCTCAAATATCAAATTTGATCAAATAGCAAATACCTCATGGGCTGCCCAAAGGGGTTTTTGGAAGGTCAGCTGCCCTCCAAGAACCTTCCTGAAGTTTGTACTTGTGAGAGAGTCACACAGTTCAGCAGCTTGGCTCACAGTGGACTTCTCATGCTGGAGGATGTTCCTCCTGGATATCTAAGATAAAGCTGGGTGAGTTTGGTCCTAATCACCTCACCCAGGCCACAGCATCCCCAAAGATGGGTAAAAAAGTCTTGATCTAGGCACACACAATGCAGAAAACACCTCTTTTCTCCCTCAGTTCTCCTTCTCTTCCCTTCAGAACTGTTCTGGGGAGATTTTAGCAGCAAATCTAAGCCCAGCATAAGCACAGGGGGACCTCATTATCTGACCTCATTTATTGTGTGGCATCATTTAACAAACTTCCTTGTGGGAATCTTTTAAGAATTTCAGCATTAAAATTCATTCTGTCACAAATATAAAACTTCTCAGGACTTTTGGCTCAGAATATCCTTACTGAGGTTTTTAAACACCAACAAACCATTCAAGCAAGAAGTCAGCAAAGGGATTGTTCAGTATGTGTTCTTTAATTCCAATTAAAAGTACATTAGAAACAGCACACAGGACCAGCAGCAGCTTCCATGACAATTCAACCCAATACTCTGCTGTCACCAGGTCATTCAGCTGTACTAGGAAAGTAGGTGATTAAATCAAGTCTTCCACTCCACACACAAGCACTCACTCACCTGCCACTTTAAATAGGATTCCAACAGAATAAAAATAGATACACCCCAGAATACAAAAAAGTTTAATTTTAAGCTGTTTTTTTTTTTTTTTCTTCACTAAAGCCTTTATACAAATTGATAAAAGGGTGCACAATTTCCTAAAATTTTAGGTACATTTTAAATGAGCCTTTTTTTACTTGGTAAAAGGATCCATATTCCTGTCTTTGAACAGAATATGATGGCCAAAATTGCAAAGAAAACAATTCAGTTTAAATTTACAATTTATACATTTGTTTTTGACATGATTCCCACACTGAGTAGCAGGCCCATGGCTGCTCATGCATGTCCCATTTCCCCCAAACACAGAGCTGTGCACCCTAAGTTCTGTTCAGGAGCCTCCTTCTCCTGGAGACTGGGCTGGGGGAACAGCCCACAGCATCCAGCTGTGTGCACAAGAGTGGTCCCAACACACAGCAGGCGTTACCCTTCCTTCTCCAGGAGCTGAGAATCTTTCCTTCTCCATGGAACACCCCGGGGCAGGGACCAACAACCTATTTTGCACTATGGAGCACTTCCCACCTGTAATTTGGCTGAGCAATTGAACTCAAAACTCTGGTACTGAAACATACTGCAACAGGTAAATTTGGTGTTCTAAGGGTAAATTGTTTTGGTCAATCCAGGCTATCATGGGGTTTTTTTTTTTGTTGTTCTTTTATTCTTCTATCTGATGGGTGAAGCCAAACAGCTCTGTACATTATCCATGCTGAGCTTCACAGCATGGTGCATTTAACCACATGGTGAATTTCATTCAGAGGTGAATTTAATCAGGCAATTAATTAGTACAGTTCCCTTCATACTGCCCATCCCACCCCACCCACCCACACCTTAACCAGGCTAAACACTTGGGATGAACTTCTGTAGTGTCACCACCACCACCCAGGGCAGGGAGAGCGGCCATCCCAACAAATCCAGGACAAAGGAAAAGAAAACACTGCCCAGCAAAGCGACACGGCACCTGTGTTTGCGAGTAGGAGCTACTGGAGACATCCTCAGGACAATTTATGCAAGGAAAAGCAGGGCAAATCCATCAGAAAGCCAGAAATGAGTCTTAAAGAGCTCAGGGGAGCGCCAAAGAGAATGACATCCTAGTTTGTACAAGTTGAGTATTTAGCCAAAAACCAGCTGCCTTGTTTGGGGATTTTAGGGGTTTTTTTTTCCATTCCTTATGTCCATTATATATTCAGCTGTTGAATTTAGACTGATCAGGTTAATGCTGCAAATTATTCCAATTAAAGGCAATATTTTTTTGGTTTTTTTTCCTTTTAAAATTTTAGATAATTCCCTATTGCCTCTCTTTTGGCAAGTGTATTTCTCAGAATTCCAACAATCATCCCATTTTAAGGCTAAACTAAGAAATGTTAAAAGCTTCTGTAAACATTTCCTCTTCCTCCCCATAGTTGCACAATTTGAAGTCCAACTGCAATTTTGAAAATGAGGTAATTTTTGTGTACTCATATCTTGAAGAGTCCTTTTGAGAGGCTGTGCCAATCCAAACGCTGATCCAATTGTAGTGGGAGAGCTTCCACAGCAGGGCACACACCAGTTCCAGCAGCTATTTCAGTTATTTATCTTCTCAATTTCATCCAAGTCATCAGTATCCAATTTGTTTATCTTTTTGTCTGGGAAAGAAGAGAAAGAGGTCAGATTTTGTAACACAGAGCAGAGAAGGGAACGCTGCTCTCCTCAGCTGGACTCGAGTTCTGGTTTACCAGGGAATGTTCATTTAAAAATACAAATTAAAACTGTTTCATTTTATCAATCTGGGTACTCCAGTATTACCCACCCCTGGAAAATCAACTTCAAGGACTTCAAGGCAGCCAGCAAACACAGCCTTGTTGGAGTGTGAGACACAGAGTGTGAGCCCTTGTCTCTGACATCCAGCAGAACACTGAATTTCATACAACATGAAATTTATGGGCGTGTTTTCATGGTGATACATGAAAACAACTGTTAGTTAGAAAAGCTGAAAGTCTGAGTGTGTAAATTAGAGACTTTTCTTAAGTCACTGGGTGAAAAAGTTAGAGTTTAAAACAGTTTAGAAAGCAGAAGGCAAGATGGAGGATTTAGAATGTTCTCTATTTTCCTTCTTCTTCATTTTCCTCTTCTAGAGGTTTTTAGGTAGTAGTAGGTGATTGGATAGAAAATGCCACAGTGCAGCACACAGGTGATGGGTCATTGGGTCATTAAGGAAAATAATATACATGTCTATTGTTAATTGATAAGAATAAGTATAAAGATAAAAAGGCTGCACAGTTCAGAGCCATTTTGTGCCATCAGAGCCCAGGTTGTAGTGATTTAAACCTGTGCAGAAAGTCTGGAGAGACCTGCCAAGTTTTGTGATAACATCCTAATAAACAAGAGAAACAAGATCCTAACGAGCTTTGGGGTTTTCTTTCTGACCTGGAGAACTGAGATAAACAGAACTCAGAAGAGACTGAGAAATCCACATGTGAGAAGAAGTGCATGCAGAATCAGAGAAAAAACAGATTAAAAAGTTACACAGGGTGACTTATTCTCCTGTCACAGGCAGCAGGGCACACTCCACCAAACCCTCCTGCTGTGCTCCTCTGCCACCCGTTTAAGACTCAACAACCACCTCAGAGCTGCTCAGCATCCAGCCAGTCAAATTCTGCAGCCACTCAAGAGTTCAGAGGCAGGAGGAAGGCTGAGGGTACGTACTGAAATGTTCCTGGATTCTGTTGAGAATGTTCATGCTGTGCTTGCTGTCCACCATGTTAATGGCCAGCCCTCGCTTGCCGAAGCGGCCGGTGCGGCCGATCCGGTGCAGGTAGGTCTCGTTGTCTGGATTCCCATCCTTATCCACAGGCAGATCAAAATTGATAACAACAGAGACCTGCTCTACATCGATCCCTGACAAAAAGAGAACATCAGGTTACAAACTTGAATCTTTTTAGAGCAGGAACAGCCTCCTCAGATTCTGAAACGCTGATTTTCTACAGTATCCTCGCAGGGAATATTGGAAATAAAAACTAATGAGCTGTTAGGGCAGAGAGTCCCACTGAAACAGCCAAAGGCACTTAAATATTTATTTCAGAGTCTCTTTCCTTCCCTGCAAAGCTCTAAAGATCACTTGTTTTTTACCAAGTACAATCCTGTCTTAACTGTTCTAGGATGTCAAATTACACCACAAATTCCTGCTGGGACAGTGAACTGAATTTCAGTATTTTTCAGTTTTCCATCCTTGAGCACATGTTCACTGCAAACCCTGAAGGTCAGCAGCACAAGGCAGGCTTGGTCATCCACAGCATGGACTTTTCCAGTTCCAGCAGCAAGAATCCAACAAGGAATCCTGTGTTTGCTCACAGGCATCCAGTGCAAGGACACCAATTTCTCCCGGCTGGAACACCTGAGGATGTGAATTCTTCCTGTGAGCTGGCCAGGGGCATGTGTTATCTTAGCAAGTGCTGCTTCCAGCCCTCCCTGTGATGCCTTTTGGGGTTACCTAAAAAGAGGCCAGACAAAACTAAGGGAATAAAAAGTGCTTGTATTTACTGAAGGGCCTCAGGTGTGTTTTGGGCAGACCAAGCCCCCCAGGGGCTGCACCCAAAACGTTCCACGGCTCACTTTGGCTTTTCACACTCCATTGGCACACTGGGGGTTAATCCTGCAATTCCAGCCGCAGGTAATGAAGTCATTTAGCCCAAGTTTGCTGTCCCCAACTCCCTTTTGTTTCCATTTCTGGGGCTCTGAGGCAGTGAGGTGCCCTCAATTGCCGGGCCTGGAGAGGAATTTTGTCTGCCCAAACCAGGAGAGCAGCGGCTGACACCGTGCGTGGAGTTCAGAGCTCTAAAGAACCTCGGGATTACAATTCCACATGAAATATGAAAACTAAATTCCTAAAGCACCACCTGGCCCCATTCCACCGTGTCCTACCTCTGGCACAGACATTTGTGGTCACCAGCACCTTCTCCTTGCCCTCTCGGAAGCGCTCGATCACAGCAGCTCTCTGCTCCACCATCATCTCCCCGCTGAGCAAGGCCACCTGATGGCCCTCCCTGGACAGCTCTGCCGCCAGCCACCCCGCCGTCTTCCGAGTCTGCAACACACAGCCAGCCACACGTTTGGGAGAGAGATTTAATGCTGGAAAGCACCAGTAAACCTCTCTGGGGGCTCACTGGAAGCTCTGTGGCTGCTCAGTTTTTGTCTCCCTTACAAACTGTATCAGGAGGACAATACAACTCAGCCCTTGATTAATAAAGGACACGTTTTCTTTGGGCTCTGCTCCTTGGGTTTCACTCTGCTGGAGAGTGACACTACACATGTACACTGAAAACTCATGAAAATTGTCACGAAACCACAACTAGTCAGCTTGGAAAATAGCAGGGTCAGACCTGAATGCAGTTGTGAAATCCCACAGAGGCTCTGCACAGCCTTGAACTAAACAGTTTTTTGAGCTCCAATAAAAAAACCTAAAAGCAAACTGCTGCAACAGACTCCAAACATTTTCATCCTGTCTGAGCTCAGACAGGAGCTGTTCTGTGCTGTCATCACTGATTTTTCCTTGAAAATTATTATGGTGGCTTCCAGAAAATGAAAACAAAGTCTCAGTATGATTCACAGTGAGATCCCAGAGGTGTATCCTCAATTACCTGAGGGAAATGAAGTCCCAGGAACAGCTCTGTATCAGCTAGAGAAGCACAAGACTTCCCAATCCCTCATTCTGCCTTATTTCCATGCATTTTCCAACCCCACTTTTTTTGTTTTTTTTCTTTTTTTTTTCAGTAGTTCAGAATTTTGGAAAAATGTGCATTACTCAGAGCTTTTCTTCAGAGGACTTCAGGGATAACAATGACCACTCAGCAATAAAAAAACCCAGTGTTGTCTCCTGGATGGACAAACCCAGAGAATCAAACCAGCCAGCGCTAATGTGACTTTTAGGATTTCACTCAAAATGGGAGCCACAGAAGCCAAAAAGGGCAATTCTGTACTCAGTTCCTTCTGGAAACCTGCCTTGGTTTCAGCACTTGCAGAGTCTGAGGGGGTCACTAGGAGTAACATTCCCTGGAAGCACTCACATGGCAGAAGATCATGGCCTGGGCAATGGTGATGGCACCGTAGATGTTACACAGAGCCCGGAACTTCTCATCTCTGTTGTTGCACAGAACATAATACTGCTTGATGGTGTCCAGGGTCTCCTCCTCACGCTTCAGTTTGATAATGTTTGGGTCAGGAACAACTTTTTGAGCAAACTTCCACACAGAATCCTCGAAAGTGGCTGAAAACAGGAGCATCTGGCAGTCCCTGGGGAGCATTCTGAAAGAGAGAGAAATAGGGAGGGCTCCCACACAACACTGTCATCTCCTGATATCCTGATGGAATTCAAAGGAGAACCATAACCCTGGAACCAGTAATTTCAGTACCTGGAAAGACTAAAACCAATCTTACCCACCCATGATCGCTCCCTCATGGGACCACAGGCATCCAGACTTACCATCTTTAAAAGGAATAAACCCTGCTCCAGGGACAGGATTTTTATTCTGTAAGGAAATGAAACTGCTTGTCATCCCCTGATATTGTGCCTCTATGTCAGTGCCTCACCCTAGAGCTAATGTATCATTTCAATCTTGTTGCAGCCCCGCTGTCCCTGTGGCACTGCTCTGTACCTCTGAATGCGGATGCTCTGGTCCTGGTGGCCCTGGGTGGCGATCATCACATCTGCCTCATCCAGCACGAACACCTTGATCTTCTTGGGGTCTATGAATTTCAGTTTGGAGCACCAGTCCAGCACGGTGCCGGGCGTGCCGATTACGATCTGCTCCGAGATCTTCTGCCCTCTCTCCACTGCCGAGACAGAAGGAAGGGCTGCTCTAGGGTGGCTGTGCAGGCAGGGAAATGCTCCATCCCTCTCTGACCCAGCTATTTCACCACCTGACTGCTCTGAGGAGCACCACTCCCTCCTCCTGTTTGTGCTGTTTCCCCTTACTCACGTTTGTTGCCTCGGACAGCGTACGCAAGTTTCAGCTCTGGGTAGAAGTTTCCCATCTGTTCAATCACTTTTCCTGTCTGAAGTGCCAGCTCGTATGTTGGGGAAAGGCACAAACACTGCAGAAACAGAAGGATAACAAATGAGGTGATCAACATCCAGGGCAACATTATCACACTTGGTTTATAAAATCCTCGTTGAAGTTTTCTTCAAGACAAACATCCAAGTGGCTGAACAGTTTCTCAATCATCCCATGAGGAATTCTGATTTAAAAAGTCCCTTTCCAGGCACTGTCTGCTCTGTTGTCACAGTTCCTTCTCTTCTACACCAAACCCACTGATCCAACCCCCTTCAGTCTGCACTATTTCTCTGATTTAAGTCCTCCCAGAAAGATTTAACTTCTCACAGAGCAATGGCATCCTGTGTGATGCACAGGAAGGACTGACAGGAACAAGCTTTGAGCAAAATCCACATCTTTTACACTGAAGGCATTTTTGATGAACTCCCAAACCTCCACGCCCTTTAAGCAATTTAAAAGAAATTAACACCATGGCTCCACCAAGCCATGAATTTACATCTGAAGTCCTCCCAGCAGCTCAGGCTCTTCACTAGATGGCACTGCACCACCAGGGAACACCCCAAAACAGCCACATCCCACAAACTTTACCTGTGGATACTTGTTCCCAGGCTCAACCCTGCTGAGCATGGCCAGGACGAAGGCAGCTGTCTTGCCAGTACCGGACTGCGACTGCGCGATGAGGTTCTGCGGGCTGGGGGCACAGCAGGCACAGCTCACAGGGTGAAGCACCACGGTGGCATTTGAATCCTGTCACATTTAGCCCTGCTCTGGATCCATGGCCAACCCGACCAGCTATGCTCCATTATTATTTCCTCCCCAATGTTTCTCATGATGGAGATTTTGGAAGGAGAACTGTGGTTATCTTGTAGTGATTTCCCATTTCACACACCTTCCCCAGTGGGTCAGACATTCCCCAGAACCTCACACATTCCAGCTCAGGGTTGTGGAGAGGAAAATCAAAACCAAAGCTACTCCTACCCACCCAGGATTTCTGAGCTATTTTGGATTATTTCTTCCCAAACTAATGAGGAAAATGGCAATGACCTCCCAAACCCCACAGCACTGCATGCTCAGTACCAGCCCTAGGAAAAGGACAAATCCAGGGCTCATATACTTAAATCCAGTGTCACACAGTTAATAACCACAGAAACACCGTGGCATGGGAACTCTTTCTCCATACCCTGAGAGTTTCTCCATCACCCTCCTCTCATCCAAAATTCAGGAGCAGCACACTGAACCTTTCAAATCTTTCTGTTCTGGTAGAGAGTAGGAAGGAAGCGTACGTACGGTTCAGCAAGCATCATGGGCAGGGCATTCTCTTGGATCTTAGATGGTCTGTTGAAGCCCATGGCATAGACTCCTTGCAGGAGCTGTGGTTTCCTGAAAAGGGAAATTTTTATATCATGACCTATTTAAATTCATTTAGTTTTCATATATGTACAAAAAGGTGAAAAAAACCCTCAAAAACACATCCTAGAGCTGTCCCTGCTACAATCCCACCCATGAAAGAACTGTGGTCAGCATCTGAAAGCTATAAGTGACAGCAGGAAGTTTGGACACAGGAAGCTTTATAAAAACCCCTGGATTTAATAAGTCAGCCTGCCTGTCCCAGCTTGAGGGCAAAGCCTGTGTCTAAGGCCAGCACTGCTTGTTCCAAAGCAGCTTTTCAGACAATCCAGGAACCCCAGAGCAGAAAGCATTAATCCTGTCCTTCAGGCCAATCCCATTTGCTCAGCCATGTCTAATCTTGGTGCCGAAATTATCACTCCTCGATGACTCAAACACGGGACAAAGCGTGAGGAACAGGATGAAGGGATCTTGAGATCTTTGCAAGGACTTGAGGAAGTCGTGTGGATTCTGTAATCCAGCTGAGTGATGCTGGCTCAGGTAAATGACTGATCATTAGCTCGGTTTGCTGTCACTACACTTTGTGATCCGTGGCTGCAAACCAACTCTCACACCCACAGCTGCGTGGTGACACTGCAGGCCAGCAAACTCTCATCTGCTGCTTTCTCTGAGGGAGCTTTCTACTCTCAGCAGACACTTGTGCAGACAAGGAGAACCCAGAACAACCTAAATCCATGGAATGGTGCTGGAAACTCTCAGCTGATGACCCCCAAGTGTTCTCTGGATGCTGTGAGTGCTCTCAGAAGGGCTCTCCTTTCAAAGCAGGTCTCGTGCCCGCATTTCCCACTGCACTAACTTCCTATTCAGCACAACATGCTTTTGCAAAAATCCTCTGTGACTTCCCAACCATGGCCAGAACAAAAGCTCTTTGAAAATGTAACCTTGTGCTGCTCCAAGCAAGGACAGACGAAGCCCAGCTCTGCACCAGTTGCCAAGGATACCCCGAATCATAACAAAATGAAGACTCAATTAGGCTGCCTGTCCCTGTCATTAACTCCCTGGGATTGTTTGCCTTTTGAAACACAGGAATGAATTCGTCTAACAGGCACTGCAGGACCTCAGCTTCTTTTTGTAGACATTCAAGCACGAACACTAACAAAGCAAAACATCCTGGCATTTCATGGGGAGAAGGCTCTTTAGCTCCCATTCTCCTGCAGAGCTTGTAGAGCAACAAACCTGAGATCAATGCAAGCATGACAATCCCAACAAGATGTACTCTTCAGCATATTAATGAATATACCCATCAATCATGCCTTAAATTCAGTTATCATCCCCTGAAAGCTGCATTGGTGGAGGTTTTCAGAGGAGAGGAAATCAGAAAATACTGGTCTGTCCAGTACATAAATCCAGTATGCTGGAAAAGAAAAACTTTTCCCTTTGTGCTGTTCACTGCTGTTGTTTCAGATGGAAACCCCCACCAGGCACACAGATAAACCAACTCTCCTTGCATTTAAATAATACAAATGATACACTCACTTATTAATGACAGGTCTGCAGTAACCTGAAACACAAACCCATGTACTTTTAAGTGATATGTCCTATGCAACCAGGGAATTTTTCAGGACATGAGGAGAGGTTCCAATTATCCTATGGACTCCAAACTCCCGTCTGCTCTGGCAGTTTTAGCAAAACTGTTCTCTCTCCCTGAGTTTAAGAATAAGGCTCCCCATGACAAACTGAAAAATCCAGTTATAAGGGAGCCTATTAAATATATCTGATGGCAGGATTTAACAGCTCTGGCTCATCCCAGCAGACACTTACAGGCGCAGCTCCTCAAAAGACTTGACAGAGTAGAGAGGTGATGTGGGATCCCTCTGCAGCACCTCCACCTGATTTGTGGTGTCAACCAGGTTACTGCGGATCAGCTTGTTCAGTAAGGACTGGGCAGCTCTGTCCTCTGGGAAAGGAGGTGGAAAACAGAAATCCATCAGTTACAGCTTGTTCCAGGCCTTGCTCCCACTGAAATCCTGAGCCAGGTAAAAGGGACAAAATCCCTCCAAATACTGAAATTTTTCATTGGAGTGTAATGGCTTGAAGAGCCCAAACCTCCTGGATGAGACATTGAGAGATCCCAGAGGTTCCCCCATTTAATACCCAGGAAGACAAATCAAACAAGCAGTGTTCTAAGGGGGACTTTTTAACAGATCCAGATCTCTGCTTATTTAAGATTATTTCAGTTTAGCATCTACCTGGGGCAGGGTAAGGCCTCCTCAACCCCCACTCTGACACGTGGGCAGACACCTCTTAAGAGTTTCATTTTTAAGGAAACTCTGAGAATAAACGGTACTTTAAAAGATTTCAGAGCTGAATCACAAGGGCTGAGGATAAGGGAGATCCAAACGAGGTTAAACTGCTGCACTTTGGGGTTTTTTGCTACTAAATCTGTTTCCTAAAACCACCTTCTGAAAGATTTCGAGCCGTTACCCACCTCTGAACAGCCACTGCATAAACGCAACTTGTTGGTTGCTACAGCAATCCCAGCTCCAGGTTATCCAACTGCTCCTGTATCCAGTCCTGCCTTGAGGATACTGCTATCCCCTTATTTCTCTCCACTCTAATCCAGGAGTCTCCCAAGTTATAACAGGACACAATGCCTTTAAAAGTGTTATGGAGGAAGGACATGTCTTACAATTAAGTCCTTGGGGCAGGATACAAGATCAGCTGTCCTGAGACATAAGGCAGACTTACTTTAAGTATATATTAAATCAATATAATTATAATTAAATTCAATTAATTTCCTTGCCAAAGCTTTTTTCAGAAAGGCACTCACCCTTCTCCTCATCCTCCGTCTTCTCCACATTGTCATCTGCCTTGACAACGGCACCTGAATTGGAACAGTTTAGGGGGGCACAGGTGAGGTCAGGCCTCAGGGACAGCTCACACCCTGTTAAAATGAATTTAACTTTGGAAAATCCTAGGAAAAGCTACAAAACAGCTCATTTTCCTGAGAAGAACTGCCCTGCAGTGCAGAGGAAACCCAAGCATGAGCTCCAAGTGGAGTTCAGCAACCACACCTTGAGACACCAAAACATTGAGTTTGTGCTGCTGCTTAATCTCAGCTCTTCTGGAATCTCATGATTTATCAGGAATTTACTTTGGCAGCAGCGCTCTGAACCCCCACAGGGAAACATTCCACCCTTTCCAAACCCATCTGAGCAGCTGGAACTCACCATTGGCATCTGGTTTGGTTTTTTCATCCTTCAGCTGTAAAGTGCTCAGCTAGAAACGAGGAAAAACACAAAATCAGAGAAATTCAAATACAGCTCCCTATATTCTAACTGCAGCCAGGAAAACCTCAGCTTTGGATTTATCAAGTATTGCACAAACCCTGCTCAACTGGAAGGGATGAAGATACAAAAGGAACTTGATTTCAAGAGTTTTAATATGACTATTTCTAAGCAGGAGCTCTTAACAGAAATACAAGTTTTTCTAAGCTGTAACACAGGGAAGGGGTTGTTTTCTGTGCTGCAGCCTGCACTCCCTAATAGCTCTGCTGCTGGAAAACGGGACAAAAATCAGCATTCCAGGATGGAAACAGGATCCATGCACTGTCCTGGCTGGCACAAGAACAAGATTCTGTTTCACCACCTGAGATGTGCAGGAAGAGCAGCCCTCACGGTCTTCCCCACATCCTCAGCTCAGTGAGTGTTCTCTGCTCAAGAACAGAAAAAAAACAGAAAACAATTTTTTTCTGAGGTATGAAGTTACATCTTTTCATTAAAAAATATATGAAAGAAAGAGGGATTTTTTTGGATGCTGGAAGACAGAGCCGAGGCTGAAGCAGTGCAGTGTCTGGATGGAGGGTGAGTGGGACACCAGGGACGTCTTTGCCCTTTGGATGCGCAAAAAATGGATGAAGGAGAAAAAAAAAAATTAAAATAACGGTAAATAAATAAGTAAGTAAATATATAAATAAAATTAGGGGTTTTTCTTATAAAGGGACAATCAGATTCCCCGGGCCCTCCCTGCCCCCACGGTAGAAAATGAGGAGAAAAAGGCTTTCTGCCATCGCTGTTTTCTGTCAGGATGAGGCGGAGGCCGCGCGGCCCGAGGGACCCCGCACAGCTGGGCC